CATGCTCTGGTTGGAACCTTGGGTAATCTAATTGTTATCGATTCAATCTTTCTGTAGGAAGAAGAATTGAAGCAGGGAGTAAGTTATGTCCCCTACTGCAGGTCTTAACTAACAGTGGAGGGCTGCCGTCCTGCTGGCGTTCTCATTGCTTTGGCCTCTAATGTATGTTCGTGCTTCAGTTTGGAAAGAAAAAAAAAATCATACTAATTTGCTTCCATTTCAATGTAGTGCTTGAATTGAGATGATAAAATTCAGCATTCTGTTGTAACTGTCACTGATGTCGGCAACAAATGAAGACCTGTTTCATGTTTAGAAGGGAGAACAACTTGTGATTTGTTGGGAAAGTTTTAGATCCCCAAGGGTGTTAAGTTTCAATTCCATGTTATGCTCTCTGGGGTTATCTTCTAGTAATAGAAGATCAGTCATTAGAGCTACACCAAGGTCTCTGTTGTCTCACAAGCCGCAGGCCACAAGAGCAAACCTCCACACTGTGAACATTCAGTTCAGCTTCCATTTCTCCAAAAGGGTGTAGAAACTCTTTTGTAAGAATCAGGTAATAAATCCCTTTCTGTCGCATAACTACAAGACCATGCCCTCTGCCCTGTGCTCAAAGATGTGTTCAATTGTATAAGATGAGGCTTGGGAGCCGACTGTCCACCTCACGTGTCTTTAGTTTCCTCCAAAGCTGCTTGTTAACAAGATTCTATGAAAAATAGGTAACTTCCTTCCCTTCCACTCTTACCAAGGACCTTTCTGCTCTGTGGTTTCATAAGGTCATTCCACACATTTTTTCCCTCTGGAGATAGAGGCATCTTGACTGTCTGACATGTCATACCCTGAAGCCCTATGTGTGACCTTGTGGTCAGGTTCAGAAGGAACAGGATGCTGAGAGAAATCCCACTAAGCTAGAACAAAAGAAAAGCAGCTTGAATACCTGTGCATGTACCAAAGCGTCTGATGGTGTGTCCCAGTTACTCACATTATTTAAAGATTTAACATTTTATCCATGGTTAATTAGAACTTCAACCTGTCCAATCTCAACAGATCTGTTAATTCTTCTGTATGCTCTTTTCTATTATTCATTCTGTGTGTTTGTGTATAACAAAGAATGTTTGCAAAACACTGGAAACTTTTTAACTCTTCATTCCCAACGTCTGTAAAAGAATAAGAAAAGAGAAGAACCATGTTAAACAAATCTGTAATTCAAATAATAAAGGCAACGTGCGGCATTATTTTGTATATTATGAAAAAATTACTTTATTGAGCTGACGCCAAATTTTCACCAGGGATGACTCCCTTGTGTTAAAGATGCACTGTATTTGTAGCCTGTATCATTGTCCATCCCTGCATCCCTGGGGTGTGGCCACTGACTTAGATCATGGCAGAGCAAATGCCCAGTCCTTGGTAGCTCTCTTTGCAAACAGGCTTTTCCCTGCATGTTCATGGAAACAGAAAATACTGCTCTAGTTTAACTTCTCCTCCCATTGGCCAGAAAGGACAACTGTCTTGCTTTAAAATTCATTTCCCCCAAGGACCCTTTCCCTCCTTTTTCCAAGCAGTATATTCTGAAAGCCTTCTATTGCTGCCTGCATAGAGCCAGGCTGTGGGAGCGCCCTTTTGGTAGATCCTTGACACCTGTGAAGCCCCTCCCAGCCTCTGCACTTTGAAGGGTCTTTGACAGCTGTGGGGACTGCTGCACTGATCGAGGTCATCCTTCAGTACCACCCAAATGTGGGTAACACACTGTGTCATTCCCACCTGCTTTGTTTCTACTCAGGCTTCTCCTTACACTGACCTGAGGTCAAGGTCACTTACACCACAGCATATGAACGGCAGCTCCATGACATGGAAATAGAAGAATGTGAGGGAGAGAGAATGGGACAGGGAGCTCTTCTGAACCATTAGCAACAGAAGAGGGAAATCGTCATCCGGGGTTTTATCAGCATAGACATACCACTTCTCAGAAATTCGGAATATCTACTTTGTTAAGCATTAAAGCAAGCATTCGTTAAGAGCTTTAGAGAAAAGTATTAAACAATACAATAGAAAAATGTAGTCATAGAGTGCAAGTGGCCCTGGCTTATACTGACCATATGTCAAAACTAAAGACAGAACCCCATGAAATCCAGCCCCACTGAGTTGGATCAGTAAGAAAATGAGCAAATGCCTTCCAAATTGAGTTCTTGTGTTATAACATGATCTAAGGAGAGAATTTAGAGGTTTTAGATCGGCATCTACTTCTAAATTCTGTTTTATGAGTCTTTCCCCTTCGGGAACATTCTCTTTATAAAAAAATCAAACTCAAATGCCCCATACAACAAATCATGCTTGATTTAATAACCTCTGCTTTATCATAAATGTGTGTGGTTCAATGTAGTATTTTATTATGCTGGTATTTATCTTCCTCACATATACTGTTTCTTGTTATAGGCAATGCATGAAACTATCCCCCTTGAGGAGAGAACATGAATTTTAAAAAATAGTGCCTGTAATATAATATGATTATGGTATCACAAGCAATAAATTGTGTTTTTTACAAAACTGGAATCAAAGTTATCCTACCCTCTTTCTTCCTTGTGTACTCTTAAGATTTATTGAAGGAGCTATAAAATGAACACTCACAAAAAGTATCTTAAGAGTGAAAACAGATGCCTGTAGTGGCAGTAACAATATGGCCTAGAGTTTCTGGTATATTCCCAGTCCCAGCTATTATGTATATGTCTAAAACCGAGTATGTTAACTTTGAGTTTGCATAATAAAGTCTCACTAATTTAGAAAGATTACAGCAGATTGGCCTGAACTACAGAGGCCCCTGCTCTAGCTCACACTGATAAAGATGCTGGGAAAGTAAACTAACTTCCTGACCATTTCAAACATTCTGATAGTGTGTACCTCACAAGATTACTGTGGATATTTTAAAAGACAGTGGGTGTGAAAACATTCTGTGAAAATGCTATCTGAATATCAAATATAAGAGCAAGTATCTGTAGGCATAGTTAAACAGTCATATATAAACTTTTCAAATTTTTGAATACACATACCTATTCACTTATTTTTTTTCCTAGGAGTTTACTAACAGAGTCTCAGTCTGTGGAAGAAGTCTGAACATGACTTTCAATTTGCTTAGCTCTCTTGTAATTACCTTTAACAGTAGAAAACAACCCTTATGCTTCAGAAGTTACAGAAACATCCCAATAAGAACACATTCCTGGGTACATTTTTTTTTTTTTTTTGGTTTTTTGAGACAGGGTTTCTCTGTATAGCTTTGGAGCCTATCCTGGCACTCACTCTGGAAACCAGGCTGGCCTCTAACTCACAGAGATCTGCCCGCCTCTGCCTCCTGAGTGCTTGGATTAAAGGCGTGTGTCACCAACGCCCAGCTCCTGAGTACGTTTTTAATAGATAGTAGACTGAAT